TTACAGAATTACAAAACTGGCATTTTCAAATGCATCCACTTTGAAGAGTGTTTGTGAAAAGACCCATTGTTGGTGGTCTAAAACACTGTGTTAGTGTGGATGAAAGGCTGACTTTCATAACTTTCAAAACTGCAAAGAAAAAAATTAAAGTGCATCAGTATAGAAACAAAATATTTTGTCAATTTATCAATTAGTCAATCCACAGAAAAACAACCAGAAACTAGTTTTATAATCTGTTAATTTATTTATTAAATAAAACTCAAATGTGAGAATTGTTTGATTTTCCTCATCTAATGTGATCACTGAATTTCTTGGTTGGTCGGACAAAGAAGCTATTTGATGACATAATTTTGAGCTCCATGAAACTGTGGTAGAATTGTTCCTACAATTTCCTGACATTTTATAGACCAAATGATTAAAGTATTAATTGGAAAAAGTCACATCTAACATTGTTAGCTGCAGTTCTACATTAGTGTGGACGAGACCTGAAACAGCTTTTGCACTTCTTATCTAAAAAGGATTACACGTATCAGCCATTTTGCTAGTCTATTATATATATTATTATAGCTTTAATACTCCTTCACAGAGCAGCACTCTAGCTGGATGCTGTTGTTAATAGCATTGCATGCCTAACTACATATGAATGTGCAACTTCTAGCTCATGCAGACTGATCCTAAACAGGACGTTTTTCTGTCCTCATCCCACATCTGTCTGGCCTGCTGCCAGACTAATAAAGGTGTGAGGCAGCCTGAGGTCAAGCAGCATACTTTTCCTTACTGTAATCACATGGCCATCTGTCAGAGCCTGTGCAACGCTCTCAACACTGCTTCCCTTTTGCCACCCACCTCTACCACACATCACACATACACAGAAACACTAACCACGCAATCATGTGGAGCGCTATTCTGTTTCGACAAAACCCCTTATTGTCCTCTGTGACTGAGTTCCTTCACACATTGCTTTTGTGTTATTTTAGCATTTTTTCTGTTTAAATTTCACATTCATCATTGCACGTACATTTTTAGTTTTAACTCGTCATTTGCCTAATTTATCATTTTGAACTTTACAGTGCAACTGATAGCTATTCAACAGAAAGCATCAATATTCTTCTTTGCCAAACACTCCGTTATTCAAACCAGATTGTTTTTTCATGGCTGTCTTGAGGTAATTTGTTTTTGGCTGCCAATGAAATAGGACCATATTTCAGATGTGTCCCGCTCCCTGGCCCTCTCCCACCATCATCTCCCCTCTTCCTTCTTCTCTCTTGCCTCTAACTCTCTTTCCTTATAACAGGATTTAGCATATCAATGGCGGATTAGTTCGTTTAACAAAAGCTTACTACTGCAAAGCCCCTTTCCACTCGTCTTTCCAGCCTGACTTGTGGACCTCACACACAGCTCCTCTGCGCCGGGGTCTTTGGTGTGCGTGTGTGGTCGCGGCTGCTCGGCTGAATGGATTTGCGTTTGAAGATGACAAAAGACATGCTTAGTCACTATGGGCTTCAGAGATGTATGCAGTAGCATGTGTGGGTGTTGTTGTGTGAGGGTGCATAAGTGTGCAGGAGCACGGTGGAGGTTTATTTTTACATGCATGTACGCTGGGAGCTGAAAACGTGTGTGGATAGAGTGATTTCTGTTTTATGCATGCATGCACCCACAGGTTAGCCATCAATTATGACTTTATCTGTACGATCTGAACAACATACTGTTAAAATGTGTCCTAAACCTGCCAATCTATTGTTCTTGTACCTCTGACTTCCTCTTGCTTTAATAGGGCATGGAAAAAAGTAGTGTCCTCTGCCCTCGCAGCTATTGCGTGCTGGCCTGCAGATGCTCCTGCTCTGGAATGGGACCCGTTCTGTACAGTGGAAAGTGTTGCACATGGTGCCAAGAGGGGGTGACTCCAGCTGGCTAGGTTTGGGCCTCGAACTGCACTTTGCGTGTGCGGGGTACGGGGGCAGCCGAGTGGAGGAAAACCCCACTGTGACACTGCAGCCGGCTCAGGAAGGATGCCCCTGCTGCCTGTGGTGGTTTGAGCCACATAGTATTAATCACCTCACAGGGTGACAGGGTTTAGGATTTAAGTATGTCAGAAGGAGGACGTGAGTTGGAAATGTTCCATTATACAGGCACGTGCCTTGTGTTACACAGAATTTTCTCTTCACAAACTGTTTCCGTATAACTATTAGCTTCTCATGTTTGTGTTTGCAATAGTTTTGACGCAGTGAAAATCTTCTTCACACAAGGATTGGACGATGGTAGACTCCTGTGTAACATATGGAAGGATCAGGGTGTCAATATACAATGAACTGCTGTCCCAAAATATCCAACACTCAAACACACCACAGGCCCACAGTTTGTGAAGGCTTACTTCTAGTCTGCACCACCATTATCCATTATCAACTCCAGTCAAAGCAGTATCATGGTGGTAAGGTGTCTCTGTGATTGTGTGTGTATGTCAGAACATTTTGTCTTAATTTATCATTTTAACATTAAAACACATCCCTCCTTGTTGGAAAAAAAGTTAGTTCTGATGTGACTTGCACTATAGAAGGCCATCTAGAGCTGGACCTATCCTTCCCGGACTTCCCAGGCGTGGGAGTTGGTAGCTTTTCCCAGCATTCACAGCACTGTGACCGACCTGCATGCATTTCTTTTGACTGAGAGATAAAAGTGAAACAGCTGGGGAAAACTCACAGGAATATGGAGAGAGCATTGAGACTGTTACCACATATACTGTAGAAAGGCCAGTACCCAGGACCTTTTTGCTCTGAGGGGTTTGTACTGGTGTAATTAACGAAACCTCACACAACCTCAGTGCCTCCATTTGGGAATGACTACTCTCGCAATTATTGAGGTAATTTTGAGTTGGAAATAATACAGTTATTCAACCCTCTCATTCACTTAAAATGGCATTATTTATTTAAAAGGTCGTTTGACCCAAATCACATAAAAAAAATATTTTCAGTATTTTTAGTTTTGGTTTTGAGATATATGCCAGTGAGTTATTTACCTCCAGCCCAACACATTAGAGGTGAATGGAATATCTTTCCAGAAACAATATCCTGGTTCCAATGTGCCTTACATTGCATTCTTTCCACTGCAATTGTTGCATAATATCTACAAAGAGGAAAAGTGATGCTTCAACTACATGTTGTTTATTCCTAGAATAAATCTATAGACAGTCTAGAGTGCTTAGCACCCAGTGCTTGGTGGGAAAAACTCATTGCTGTACAAGAATTGATGTTTTGTGTTATGATGCTGTACTTTACTGATCCCTGAAGGGAAATTGCTCCACTGGGAGAACACTGTTGGGTGGGGGCAGGGGGACCAGGTCCTTTGTTGGACTGCCTCACTGTCCAACCACTAGTCCACTCTGCTGCCTGACAGACCAGAGCAGGCCTTAATAGTCATCAGTGTCTGTGCCGATGCCGAATTAAATGTTTGCCTTCTGATGGTTCATTCTTCTGGCTTTGTTGACACGAGTCATCTGATACACCCATGTTTTCCTGAGCACATCAATCTGTCTCGCAGTCTCTGTATCTGTGTTTCTTGGCAATTGAAAGGCTCCAGGTGTCTTGTGTGTCCCGTGCCCAGACGCTTTGCCAATCCTAGTGCTCATGGGCCGTAATGGCATTGTTCTAAGTGGCCCATTGTGGGTGACCCTGTTTCAGCGGGAAACAGCTGGTGGATCCTCCAGTACCATCCCGCTTGGCACAGAGGCTGGTCTAAAACCTTGGTATGAAATTACTGCGCCACAATTCCCACTTTGATACAAACCATGCAGAACAGCTCTGAATGTTCATCTTCTGTTGATGGGCTTTTTCCACACTGTCAGGCTTTCACAGTGATTTTATGCTGTGCAGGGCAAGAGAGCACCCCCCCCGGGTCTCAAAACAGGAATGCAAGCTTCAGTTTTAAGTTAGATTACCATGTGTACATAGATATTACCATCCCCTGTTATTTCTTTGTATTTGTTCAATTTAAGATAAGATAAGAGGTTTTATTTTGGTTGTAACCCTCTCCTTGTGTCAAGAACATCACTCTCTAAGAGGCTATGGGCTGCCCTCAGTACAGGAAGTGACTCAGTATTGACTGGCGCTGCACTTCCTGTTGAGCTGATTCTCCTCTACTCCTCTCAGGATGTTTACCTCCTCTTCCTCCTCCTCCTCCTCCTCCTCCTCCTCCTCCTCCTCCCCTGTCTCCCTCTCCCACCCTTCTCTCCACCCCCTTCCTTGATCACGTGACTTTACGTCGGTGCACTCAGCTCCAGGGTCAGACCTGGCTTGTCTAGGTTTAGTTTGGTCCCAGACACCGGCAGTGACGGTGGCTGCTGAGTTGGGGAAATCCAGCATGGTCATTGTGTATACTTATACTCTACCCAATACAAAACTTAAGTACCTCATTTTCTGAGTAATTAATTATAATTATTTCATGTTTGCATTAAGCTATTAAAGTCGGGCGCCCGGATAGCTCAGTGGGTAGAGCTGGCCACCCATGTACCGAGGCTGAGTCCTTGCTGCAGCGACCCAGGGTTCAAATCCGACCTGCGGCCCTTTGCTGCGTGTCATCCCCTCTCTCTCTGCCCCCCCTTCCTGGCTGTCTTCAGCTGTCAACTATAGTAAAGGCAATAAAAGCCCAAAAAATATACTTTAAAAAAAATAAAAAAGTGAACTATACCTGTAGACCTGGTTTACAGGGACCTGAGTTCTGAGCAGCAGCTTTTAAAATGGTGTAAAATGAGCGTGTGTGCTTGTGTGTACTGTAAAGATCGTATACAAGTCAGAATAAAAGGGTCAATCTGTATCCCTCTCTCATTCTTTGTCTCCTAGTTGCTGTATGAGACGTGGACCCACCACAGTGCAGCAACCATTAATGTCCAGACATTCTGCTTACACATTGCCTCTGTCATTATTTATCAGGCTTAGAACTTCACTAACAGCTTTACTTTACTTTACTTTACTTTACTCATATCTTCACTCATATCTCCACCTCTCCAGTTCCCGGAGTGCGGCTTCTTTGGGATGTACGACAAGATCCTGCTGTTCCGCCACAACTTGAATGATGAGAACATCCTGCAGAGGTTGACCTCAGCAGAAGACATCCACGAAGGAGACCTCATTGAGGTGGTGCTGTCTGGTATGTAAGCTGCAGTAACACTATGAATTGATGCACTGGTGTCCTACCTTGAAGGTGTTGAATGATCTTGGCACACGGATGTCCTCCAGCATTTCACTATTAGTTCAAACATGAACAAAGTTGTACAAAAATGAATCGCTACTTAGCGTCTTTGTGAGGGCAAAACAAAACATTGACTCAACAGACCTTTGTGAACTGTTGTTCTTGGCAAATTCAAAAGTACAGAATGAACAAGAGGTTTTAATCATCCAGCCACAGAGTTAATACCTGTATATGTGAGTATCTTAGAGTTTTTAAATTTCAGTGAGATATCCAAAGAACTTTTTGACCTGTATCATGGAAGCTTACGGTCAGAGTCAAGAGGGGATATTGGCTTGAAAGCAGCTGCTTTTATTGAATTATGGGACAGAAAGCCAGCAGGAGACTTTTTGCACACGTGACCCATGTATTTAGAAAAGTGGAAAAGCAATGGTATAGAAGTTGAGATAACAGAAATTTGTCACTCTAACATATTTTTATATCTTCATATGTTCACGTCAGTTGAAATACCAGTAGAAATACCAAGATTGTATACAAATGATCCAAAGAAACAGACTGAAGGTCTTGCCTCTTTAGACTTCCAAAACAGGAGAATTTCACCAAGCAATGTAAACCAAGTGTTTTAAAGCCCAAACAATGGTCTAAAACTAATAAACTTGAGGAAGCTTCATGTGTTCCATTTTTTTGTGCCCTGTCATAGTTGACACTCCTTCCAGTAAACACAGCCTGTAGTGTCTTGCACAAGGTCACGTACTATACTGACTTACACTTTGCAGCCCAAATGAAATATTCTCACACAATTTTACGACGCCGATTAAGTGAGAAGAAAGAGAACCACTCAACACTCCGCTCGCTCGCTCACCTGCTTTTTTATGATAAATTTGGCTTCTTTCTAGCAGCTACACAGGTGTTTGGTTTTTCTTTGTCATTTCCTGCATTGAATGAATTCGCTTCCTGTGCGGCACTGAGACCAACAAATGGCTCAGAGTATCTGTTCTGCTCTAATCTGTTCTCCTGCTCCATCTGTCTCCACTGGGAAGCACCTGACACCACCTGTGCTGAATATCTCCCCCTCTCTCCTGGGCTAGGAGCATTGTTTGCAAGGATTTAGATGGGGGATGATTGTATAAGTTCAGGATCTGAGGATACTTCAGGCATCAGGGCTGAGGAATGTAGACTAAAGACTGGAGAACTTCCTTCTTTTTGTTTCTGACTGTCTGTGTTTGTCTTGTGCTCTCTTTTGTGTCAGTCTTTGTAGCTCTCTTTCCCGCTTTGCTTTCTCTCATTCTAATCCCTCCTACCTTAACAAATCCATCTCCAGGTGTGCGACAGTTTATAGCCAGAGACATACCCAATGAAAACTATCGTAGAAGAGTTGGATTTCTGATTTGCTACACATGCAACACACGCAGTTTTTTTTAAGTTTCATCTAATACTCAATAAACTTGGCCTTCATCGTGAGAGGGGCTTTGCATGTCAAACACTTGATCTTTGTGTGAGAAACATGAGCTGAGAGATCCACGTTCCCAAGCCTTTCATTTGGTTCAGAGAAAATGTGAACCTTTTTCCGCCCTACAATTTGTTTCCTGTCATCTTCCGTTCAGTTTTCCTTAACCAACCTGTTGTTGGATTCCGCGGCTGTGGGAGAGAGATGGTCTGAATATGTCTCTTGCTGCGAGAGGGAGGCAGAAGTGGCTTTTTCTTGGCCGCGGACTCAAAGAAGAGGGCTTGTTTTTCCTGCAGTAAGTGATTGTAGTAGGCCCGTGGAGTGTAAACACACTCTGATGTGCGGGGCGGCCCTGGACACAGCGGACACTGCGCAGGCCATCTCGGCCCATGAGGTTTGAGGTTTGGCTTGACCAATTGTCCCTTTGTTCTGTTTTTCACTGCCTTAAATTCCCACCCGCCTTCACAAGCTCCTTATTCACTACTGCCAGTGTGAAATTGATATTTTACAATACCTTCTGTTTGTCATAAATATGACAAACTTGTTTTTGTCAGATGGAAACTTGTGGCCTCCAAATGGAAACTCAAGGCAAACAGATAGTGCATTCATGTAGGCCTCTCCGCTTGTGAGAAGTGCTGCAAAAAAACAACGCGTCGGGTTTATGTTTGCTGTTGTTTGACGTGTAATAGCACGGCGAGCGTTACATAACAGTGCGACTGCTAAGAAGTGGCCAATTGTTTTGCCGACGTGTGTGAAAAAGCTCATGAATGCCGCCTTTTATGTGCCTGTGCCAGGGAGCTGTGTTCATGTGACCTGCTTGAGTTCTTTCTTCTCTTTCAAATCAAACCCAAACTGTGAAAATCAACCCACCAGCCATCGTAGTTCTCTGAAATGGAAGAATAATGTGTGAGTGTGTGTATTTAGGGTGTGCAAAAATATGAATATGAATATGAGTTTCTTTATTTTTGTCGACCCTATAATTGACCCTTGACCTGTCCTGCCTGTGGAAAACATTGCACTCTTTTGTCAAACAGATAAGATTGATTCAGTGTGAGTGTTTTGTATTGCCAGTTTTGTTGTGCCTCGCTTAAAGGATCTTTTCTCTTTTTCCTTATATGAAGCATGTGCAGGTTTTTAGCAAAGGAAATGTTTTTTGTTAGTGGCCACATGTCATATTTGTTGTTCAGGACTGCATCTCATCACAGCAAGAACAGCTGAGAATGTCCTCAGTTGTCCAAGACAAAATGTGCTTGATTGAATCACCTCAAAGGAAATGAACACACACACACACACACACACACACCATGACATCAACGTTGCCACCGCACAGATTTTGCAGCTTAACCCAAGAGTGTAAAGATTAACCCACTCTCTTGTCGGTCACTGCGGCCGCAGACATAAATGATTGCACAGGAACAGCAAGGAATACTTGGCTAACGCAGGCTCTGAGAGACGAGAAGCTTCAGTCCCGAAAAGGCAGCAGTCACCTCCGCGTCTTACTCATCCTCACATCTTTGATGATTCACAGCCATGATTAACCAACTCTTGCTTCCAACAATGAGCTCAGTGTGTCTGTTTGATTCAAAACAACAGGGACATGAAGGAGAAATAAGAGAAACAGGAAGAGAGTATCCACGGCTCTTTTGGGTTTTAATATTATGTTCACAATAACAAAGATGGACTGATATAACAGGATCATTCTGCATTTCTCTGGTGTCTTATGGGTGTGCCCTATCACTTTGATACATGGAATGATGAAATTCTGTCTTTGCAGATGTGGCACCCTCTACTGCAGCAGTGTAGATATAGCACTTGCTTTAAGTCACACATTTATTAGTATGTACCAGAGCAGCTGTGGAGAAAATGTCAGCTCTATTAAATTACTTTTTTCTAATTTACATACACCCATGCAGTGAAACTGTCTATATTTTCTTCAATATTGATTTTATATGAAAAACTGTGTAAAATAGTTGTCGAATACATGTGATAAATTGCTGCTCTTTTCTTGTCTTTTTGATTCTTTTTGTCACATCTTATCATGATTTTATTTCTTCCAATTCTTCAGTTTTCTTTTAATACAAACTGTTTTCCAAATTTATTTTTCTTTTGCTACGTTTTGGTTATACCATCTGTGTACTGTTTTGTAGCTCAAGCCACAGTTGAAGACTTCCAGATCCGACCCCATGCCCTTTATGTCCACTCCTACAAGGCCCCAACCTTCTGCGACTACTGTGGGGAGATGCTATGGGGTCTCGTCCGGCAGGGGCTGAAATGTGAAGGTTAGAGACACACACGCAAACATCTTGCTGAATAATACAGGACCCTGCTGTGTCATTGCCAAGACTTTGAGCAGACCTACACCAAGACCATTTACTGTATTTTAGGGAGAAAATCAAGCCTCTTTCCTGCTGTATCCACGCACACTCACACACAGACACACAGACACACAAACACACCATGTCTGACCTCAACAGTGTATCAGGGAGATACACAAGCAAACAAGAAAGATTTGGTCCGGTCATTGTAGCCAGTGAAATGCTTGACATTTAGATCCCAGTGGAATTATGGCACGTCAGCTCGCCTTCCATTTTCTGTCCTTGTTGGATCAGATTTGAATTATACTCTTTCATTTTCATGTCATTAGGCTGCATTTGAAGTCCTCTTTGACTATGAATTAAATTTAAGTAGTTGATTTATTTACCAGTGAAACATTCATAGTCATAAATTCTCCTTTTTCAAACCTATTCATCAGTGTGGCCATCATGTGGCTGATTTGGGGAATAAAAAATATTTTCATCCCTTTTTTACCTCACAGATTGATGTGTTGTAGTCCTGTACATTTATACTTTTTGTGACTGATGTCATTTGTGTTTTCTTGTTTGAAGGATGTGGGCTAAACTACCACAAGCGCTGCGCCTTTAAGATCCCAAATAACTGTACTGGTGTCAGGAAGAGGCGATTGTCCAATGTCTCACTGCCTGGACCATCCCTCTCTGTCCCTCGACCGGCACCTGCCGAAAATGCCGTGGTCGTCCTGGAGGAGGTGAGCCCTGATTGGTGGATGCTTAAACAAATATGCTTGGATAGAAATGAAAAACCCAAAACTATGCAAAGAGCACTGTAAAAAGTTGGAATCCGTATCTGCTGATGTCTGATCTGATGTAATGATTTTTTTATCCCCACGCATAAAATGAGCTGGCTGGAGTTTAGATATCATCCTAAATCAAACTGGAAGCCAGGTGAATTGGCCAAGAATGTGAGGCAGTCAATCCGCATGCTGCTCACAAGCTTTGTCTCAACTGTTAAACGTGTCTAAACTTATCAAATTTGGCTCTTTTCCATGAGCCAATCTCCTGGGCCCTGTTGTAGAATACCACTGATGCAGAAAATTGAATTGAGCCGCACAGAGCTCTGTGGAGAGATCCTCAGCGAGGTCTTATAAAACAATTTTTGCATAAGCCGGCGCTAGAATATTCCCCTCTTGCCTGTGTCCCCGCAAAAGGTCATCAGGAAATGTAATTATGCTAATGACATTAAAAGTCCATAGAAGTCCAAGTTAACGTTTCTACTCACTTGTTGGCAAAAAAGAAAGCTTCCTTCCCATTTCTGTCAGGAGCTTCCAGACTTGTTTGAAATCAGTACTAAATGCTCATATGTGGTAAAACATGACAAATCTAATAACCGTGAGTAGACCACTTGGATTGTGTTGACTATGCAAAGTCATGCTAATTCAGTGTGACAGATTTCTTTTCCCCTTCTCCACTGATTTCTTTCTCTTGTTCTACTGCCATGTCATTATTCACTCTGTCTTTCCCTATCACTCAAATACTCCCTTTGAGGCCGTTCTCCCTCGATTATTCCCTTCACTTCCTTCCTGCATATGTTTTTTTAATACTTCCTAACGTCCCTGCGTCTTCTCTTTTTTTTTCTTCTCCATCCCTGTAACCCCTGCAGCAGAGGTCCCATCAGGAGGCGGGGAAGCGGATCCTGTCCTGGAGTGGCAGGCCTATCTGGATGGAGAAGATGGTGCTGGGACGGGTTAAGGTGCCACACACCTTCGCCATTCACACTTACACTCGTCCCACTATCTGCCAGTACTGCAAGCGTCTGCTCAAGGGTCTCTTTCGCCAGGGCATGCAGTGTAAAGGTAGGACTACATCTGAAGAGTCTCTTTCAAAGACATTGTGCTTCATTTTAGAACATTTTGGTTGATCTATTTCTTTTTTTTTTTTTTTTTTCATCTGCCAGATTGCAGATTCAACTGCCATAAGCGATGTGCTTCAAAGGTACCTCGAGACTGTTTGGGGGAGGTGGACTTCAATGGCGGTAAGTTCTACACCCAGTTTAACAGCGACATTGTTTTTTCTCTGATAGATATTTTTAAAACAATTGTATATTTAATGTACACGTTTAGAGCCAGCCAGCCCTGGCCCAGACTCCGACACTACCATGGATACTATGGAGGTGGACAGTGGCGACATGGATGGTGGCAGAGGACTGGACGACCCAGAGGAACCCTCGACCCCAGATGAGAGGATGTTCGACATGGATTCTCCCTTCTTGGACAGAGAGAAGGACGAAGAGCCCATCAAGACAATTAGGTATAAAGATGTTGATTTATTCACTTGGTGAAGTGTAGGTGGCACTGTTTACTTTGTTGTCTCAGTCATGATGGCTATCACTGCTCATATATATACATTTATATATAGTTTTTGCATAATTTTGCTTTATAACAACTCAGTAAAGAGTGACAAGAGTGAGAAGGGGAAGACATGCATGAAAGGTCACCAGCCTGATTTAAACCGGGGACTTTGTGGTTGGTTTTTAAACCACCAGGTCTAACTGCACAACTCCTGTGTTTATTCTACACCAGCAGCATGAGTTTTATGTTTCCAGTAGTGCTGCCACTGCTATAAACATAAAATGCATCACTTCTTGTGCAGGATTTGTGTCAGGAAAGACTTACCAGACACTGTGTAGTTAAAAAGAACAAATATAAAAGGTTTCCTGAGCTGGGTACAGGTCAATTTAACTGTAACCCCTTAGTGTTTCATTGTATTTACAGCATTTAGAATATAAAGATAAGTAATTGTCCTATTTTTTTGCATGTGTGTCTAGCCCTTCTACTAGCAGCAACATCCCTCTGATGCGGGTGGTCCAGTCCATTAAACACACCAAAAGGCGGAGCTCCACTGTGGTGAAGGAGGGCTGGATGGTTCATTATACGAGCAGGGACAACCTGGTAAGACTGATAACCCCAAAAGCCCAACAAAGGAGCCCAGTCTCAAATGGACTGTGCTTAGCCTGTATGCTGGGGAAAACTCCTTCTCCAAAGCTGTTCACATGTGTTGAATTCAGCACAGAAGGTATTTTCCTCATGAAACAAAATAATTTATAAGTCCTGTAATACCGGAAGGTCATGTGTGTTTTGCTGTTTGGATTAACTTGGTGTTCGTTTTCCCCTTTTAACAGCGGAAGAGACATTACTGGAGGCTGGACAGCAAGAGCCTGAGTCTCTTCCAGAACGACACCGGAGCCAAGTTCTACAAAGTAAGCATAAAGCTATCATCTCTGCCTTGTTCTCGGAAAATCCTGTCTTGTCCTCCACATCCAACACGCAGTAGCCTTTATTAAACTGTCAGAAAATGAAGCAGCTTAATGCAAGTTGATTCAGGGTCCAGTCCATGGTGAATAATATCTATAAAATCCCAATTACATTACAGCTCCTTAGTATTGAAAATACACCACTACACTTTTTTATTGTCAAAAAGTGTTGATGTTGAAGTCATATTGGCATCAATGTTATCACACTTATGAGAGGTATGTAAATAAAACCTTACCAGTGGTAGCTGTGTGACTCAGCCTGAGGGCTGTCGTGTTGCAACTGTAAACTACACTGGGGTCAGTTCAGTCTATTGAAATTCCCCCTGTGGTTTTTCACCCTGCAGCCCGGTCTCTTCCCTGCGTGAAGTGAAAGGATCGAGTCAGTCGCTGTCTTTCAGTGTTGTGTATCAGATCAGATAGATTAAAGGTTTGAAGAAAGAGGCAACATTTAGAGCCTTTAAAAAAGGTGTACTTAACATGGTTGAATTCTGAAAGTTAAATTCTGAGTTTTTAATGTAAGTTTTAATCTTTTTTTAATCCAAAAATCAAAGTAAGTGGTGGTTGTGATTGAAACGCTGCAAATACAATATGCAGAATCAGTCATGGAGAGTGTGTGACACTTTCCACTCAGTGCCAGCAGTGTAGTCAGTCATTACACTGCCGCAGGGGCTTAATAGCACAGTAATTACACAGTGAGGACCGAGGGAGGGAGCTACAGCCTGCAAGGTAAAGACTTCCACATGTGTGTTGGTGGTTGTGTGTGTGTGTGTGTGTGTGTAGGGTGGGGGATGTAATCATTTTATTGTTCATGTCACGTTGTGTGTTTTGAGACTTTGACACCTCCTTGAGCTGTGGTCAGAGTTGTGTTGCAGCGGGATGGTGTGTAGGATGCAGCAGAGTTTCCATTGTGAGAGCAAGCACATTCACTTTTGAGTGTGTGTGTGTGTGTGTGTGTGTGTGTGTGTGTGTGTGTGTGTGTGTGTGTGTGTGTGTGTCAAACAGGTGGTCTTACACGCAGCCGTAGCTATTCTCATACTTTGTTTTTCATTGTCGCTATCTCCCTCTTATGCCGGTTGTGAAACAAGAGACTTAATTCCTTCTTTCCTTCTCTCTCAATTAATTTTTCACATTCACATTCCCTGTCACTAAAGCCCTGGAGAGGAAACCTTAGCGGGGAGCGAATCCTCAGGGTGTGTTTACTGGCAGCTTTATGTGGTTCTTTATTATCAACTTGGCACTCAGCTACGTTTAAGACCTTCAGGAGGCTAATTGAAGGCTAGCTGTAAATGCCTTCTTTTAATGCTTCAAAGTTTGGTCTCATGCCTGTTGCTTCAGAGTAGCAGATTTTTAGCCATGATAGATAACAAGAGATGACTTCCTTGCACATATAGAAGAAAAAGGTTCTTTCAGGGGTTTCTTTTCCAAAACCACAGATTCTCCATATGCTCGGTCTGTATCTGGGAAACCGTCTGTCTTGGGCATTTTCCCTTCATTTCCCTAAAGTTTCTAGCCTGCTGCTCATCAGTGTGTGGCCACTGTCCTCCCCTCTCCTCTTTTCTTCATACCTCCAATCTGATTAGTGGTGGTCGAGTGGTGGCTTGCTTGCCAGGCATGGCAGCCATTTTCTCCATTTGGAAGCCATAACGGCTCTTCGTTTGAAGATGAGACCCCTGTACTTGTGGCTTTCTCTGAAGAACCTTTTATGGGGTGAGGGGGCTTCTCTCTGTCTCTGCCAGATTGAGTCCTGTCACACTCAAACGTTGCACCCACACACACACACACACACACACCCACTCGCACACTACTACCCTGTGGAGGAACGGTAGTTGCTGTGTCTCAGTGGCTAGCGGTAGCGCCAGCGCTCGTGCTCAGATGGGGCCTCTGGCTCGCCCTGCCTTGTAATCAGGGAACCAGAGCACTTCGGCCGCCGCAGGGCCCCGCTCACGTGACCCAGCCCCGCTAACCACAAGCACTTCATCTGATACTCTGTGGTGAGCCACGCGGAGGGGACAGCGTGTGCCTGTATGAGCCCCCATTGGCTGGAACTTCTCTGTGTTTTTTAATTTTTGAACCTCCCTCCTTTCTTTGATTTGACAGCAAGTTTGAAGGGGAAGGGGGTTTTAAAGTGTGCACCCGCTGCCTTTTCTGTACATGCTCATAAGAGAGAGAAGACTATAAGAGAAAGTTAGAGCTGGGACTATATAAGCAACACTGTGATTCCCCCCAGTGAGCGTGGAGACTTTTGGAGCGTGAGTGTTACTACCTGTATCAATGTTGTTCCTGTCATGTTATTGTTGAGGTGGTGCATTGTCCTTAGGTTAAGCATTTTTTTGCTTTCATAAGATTCTTTTCTGTTTTAATTTGTTTAAATGAGATAATTACCTTTGAAAAAGTGGCATTTTGTTTTTTTAAAGTTAAGATGGAAATTTTTATTATTTTATTATTGGATCATTTTTGCATATTTTTCATATTTCTTTTAATTTTTCTTACTTCTCCTCCCATGGTAATATGATGTGTATAATACACGTTGGTACTTATGAAGAAATGTGGTTAGGCATGTGTATGCTTTTGTCCCATCTGCTGTTTACATGAGTAAAGAGTGTTGGGTTTTTTTTAGGCATCAGGTGTGTTCATACATTGTGGAGACAAAAGCAAATAATAAAGAAAAAATTAGAAAGAAAGATAAAAAACAATTAAGCTCTCTCCTGATGAACATTTATATGGAATATAATATTTAGCATTTTGTTTGTTTTTGTTCTTAGTTGTAATCTCTGTCCCTCACCCATCCCACAGGAAATTCCTCTCTCTGAGATCCTCCAGGTGGAACAGTCGAGAGACTACAGTAATCTGGCCCAGGGAAGTAACCCACACTGCTTTGAGATCATCACAGCCACCATGGTCTATTATGTAGGGGAGAACAACTGCAGTCACTACCACAGCCCCGCTCTGGCCGCCTCAGGAGTCGGCATGGAGGTGGCTCAGGGTTGGGAGAAGGCCATCAGACAGGCCCTGATGCCCGTCACCCCTCAGCCCAGTGTGGCCAGTGCCGCTGGCCAGGGCAAGGATCATAGTAAGTGGAAGATTACTGCTCTTTTGTCCTAAAAACATTGGTTTTACGGAAGAAATGTTTATTTACGATGATTTTATATTTTGTAATATACATAGGTGAGGAATGTTGTTAGTTTGTGACTTTGTGCGTTGAATCAGACAAGAGTTTAGGTTTCCCATGTCAGTGATGACATGTAATATTACAGGGTTTTTCCTGAGCCAACACATAACTAACTACTAGAGCCACAACAAAAGAAAAGTTTTGCTTTCTATGGTTATGTATTTTGAAAAGTTTGAGGTTTGTCCAGATAGAAAGAAGGGAAGAAAACACTTAGATAGTCAGCCATAGCTTTCGATAGACAGGGAAAACCCTGCATTAGTGTCTAGGCTAAAGGAAGTGACAGTAGTGACAAACGAACTGATATGACTGTGCCGAAACTGCACAGTCACTCTCAGTAGTCAGGACAGAGGTGTTATTCTCTCAGGTCAACAAAGCTTGGTCCTTCATAACAAATGTTGAGTTACTATTATTTGCGTTAATATGGTTATAGTAGTTTTTGTAGATAAGAGAGCCACATGAGAGTCATGATTCTTATCAGCAAAGGATTATAAGCGTGGGCATGACATTAGAAAATGAGGCCGTCACAAAAGGCTGCCGACCTGAAACTGAGACTTATTATGTCACCCTCAAAACTACTTTCAGGACTTATAATAAGCTGTTTAAAACTGTCCTCGTCTGTCGATGTGGATTTATTTGTCCATTAAGTATGGGTAGATGAACTATTAAATAATATTGATATTTTATTTCCGCAATTATTGGTGTAATTTATGTGGTCCTTTCTCTTTCAAAATAAAAGCTTAATTACTAAAATTAAAACTACATTATTGTGTGTAACTTTAACTAAATGGTCACAACATTATGTTTTCTACTTGCTTTTATCTCTGGCTTTAGTATTCATTGGAATTAGCCCCTGCGGCTGTCTAAATTCCCAGTTATGAAATGCATTGCATACTTGCACCATTCAGTCACACATAGCTTCCCAGATCAATTTTATAGCCAATTTATTGTGTAATAAAATGCTTCATTATGTGGGGCTGTGACTTATTGCATGCAGCTGTAATATACTTGAAGGTTGTTAAAAAAATACAAGTATGTGAGCAATGCGCCTCTGACTACAATTACTTAAGGATTCACTGACTGCTTTATGCATGGGTGAAAGTGGCATTTTTCAGTTGTCGAATGTGGAAACATCATGTGTTTTCCTCTCCAGAAGAGCTGTCCATCAGCATATCTGTGTCCAACTGCCAGATCCAGGAGAATGTGGTGAGTGGGGCTTCTTTTTTTTTCTGAGAGACGCTGTTGCACAATTTCCCTGCACATGCATGCGTTCATATGCTATTAAAGTAGCTGTTGTGGTCAAATCTGAAATTGTATCTTACTGTTTCTTTACCAAAAGACCTTTAGTGGAAGCTTCAATGCACAAATGGGGAACTTCAGGCCCATTTTTTTTGTTACGGGATTTCATCTCAGTTCCACTTCTGTATTGAGTGAAAGTTATATATATATATATATATATATATAAATATTAGGCAATACCAGAAAACATTTTGGAGGAGAAACATTTTTTCCGGGGCTTTTGATGATGTAACCTTTAGCCATTGCCAATGTCAGCATGGAAAATTGAGCAAATATTACAGCAGTAAAAGTAAAACACAACAGTAACAGTCCAAATGATCTCTGTGTAGGATATTGCCTCAGTGTACCAAATATTCTCTGATGAGGTGCTGGGATCAGGCCAGTTTGGCATCGTGTATGGAGGTATGTTTTACCTGTCATATGTTACAGCTTACATTTTATATATCTTTACTGTGAATTGTATTAAATTTGTATTAATTTCACCCCATTCTATTTTAGGCAAACACAGAAAGAGTGGCAGAGATGTAGCCATCAAGGTTATTGACAAGATGAGATTTCCTACCAAGCAGGAGAGCCAGCTAAGGAATGAGGTGGCCATATTACAGGTAATGACCAGAATCCATCAATGATAGCACAAAATGAAATCAAATCAAGCTTCAGAGGATAGCATGTACTGTAGTTCTTGGCTGGAGCCTTTCAATATGCAGTACATGCTGCAGACTCTTTCAGTGTCTTTCCTAAGTTGTTCCCTCACATTTCCTGAATCTTTGTACACTGAAAGACTTTTGTGCTTGTCTTCAGAATCTGCATCACCCAGGCATCGTCAACTTGGAGTGTATGTTTGAGACGCCAGAGCGAGTGTTTGTTGTCATGGAGAAGCTGCACGGTGACATGCTGGAGATGATTCTGTCCAGCGAGAAGAGCAAACTGCCCGAACGAATCACCAAGTTCCTCGTCACACAGGTTTGTGTTGCAGGAACATCCCTTCCCTCCATCCCTCTGTCTTTTTTTCTCACATTCTAAATTTAACTGGAATTCTATGTAGCCTTATGTTACTATATTCTCTCCAATAAACTGATAATCAAATAGATAGATTAGTCATAGCCTGTCCACACTTTGTTGGGTGTTTTATTTTGAATTGTAGCTCCCCTCTCTGTCCTCCCTTCTGTTTTTGGGGTATGTTGTGCATGATCTGCTCCAGATCCAGGGCCTGTTTATTCTTGTGGTGAGCTGATTTGGGGGGGGGGAATTGTTTACGGGATCGGTCTGCATGGCATCACAGCCTCCTCCCTGGCCATGGATTACAGCCTGCAGCGTGCTGGTGGCTTTGTGGCCTGATTAGAAGAGCAGCAGGCCCCTGGGCCTCCGTGGATCCCGGGTCCCAAACAGGAGCGGGGCCATTAACAACGGCTCCATTAGCTGCGGCAGGGTTGGCTCTGATGTGGCCAGGAGGACTTCTGTCAAAGTCAGGGTCAGGATAGGGGAGCCAGGCGCACTGTGGTTTTGGTACAGGGCCATAGGCAGACATGCGTGCAGTGCTAGCTTACGCCAGGCCTCGTGAATATAGATGGGATGATGAGATGAGATCATATGTCCTTATGTAAAGGTACTGGTCAGGATGGAAGTATTTAAGGGCATTTGTATGCTTATACTGCTGTTATTTTTCCATGTGGCAGCACCACAGACTCTACTGCTTAGATTATACAAACATTACCCTGTTTATACCATATGCTATATACATTTAAACATTTAGACGCTGACGTTTATATTATTATCATCTGGATTTTTGGAGCTGAAGCTTCTTTTTTTTTTTTTACTTTTGTTTGCAACAGATCCTGGTGGCTTTGAGACATCTGCACTTCAAAAACATTGTTCACTGTGACTTGAAGCCTGAGAATGTACTACTGGCCTCTGCAGAGCCCTTTCCTCAGGTAAATAAAGGAAAAAAAACACATGTATATGTGTTTGTGCAGCTGCACGTGTGTGGAAGCACTGACCAGTTTATTTTTGTCTTCTTATAGGTAAAGCTTTGTGACTTCGGCTTTGCCCGCATCATTGGCGAGAAGTCGTTCCGGCGGTCTGTAGTGGGCACTCCGGCTTACTTGGCTCCAGAGGTGCTGCGCAGCAAAGGCTACAACCGTTCCTTAGACATGTGGTCTGTGGGAGTCATTGTGTACGTCAGCTTGAGCGGGACATTCCCTTTCAATGAGGACGAGGACATCAACGACCAGATACAGAATGCTGCCTTCATGTACCCACCCACGCCTTGGAAGGACATCTCAGCAGAGGGTAAGAAGAACAGTGTTTGTTTGCAGCCTTCGTTGAAGTAAACATCTGAATATTCTATGTCCTTCAGTCCTCTTATGGCTGGTTACACCTGTAGCTCAATGTCAAACTGATACTCAGACATACAGCCTCAGAGCTGTCCTCCCCACCTACACGTCTGGGTCGTCTGAACTTTTCTCTGAATCTTCTTTGTCAGCGACTGAAATGAATCACTTTCAAATCTCCCCAGCTGCCCAAGCTGCCAGCAGCTCTTCCCACATACAGTGTGAATTTCATTACAAGGTGACACAACTGATGAAGGTTGTTACAAGTTGTTAACCCCTGTTCTTGTTAAACACTGCCCATCCTCATCTTTTTGCTGTGAACGCTTTAGAGAGTCTTGTCCCTTTGAAGGTCACATCCTTAAGCTGTAGGTGTGATTTTCTTATGTTCAGTTAACTGATACACATATTGATACTACATATTATTGATTCCTTTCACAGCCACAGATCTGATCAACAATCTTCTCCAAGTCAAGATGAGGAAGAGGTACAGCGTTGACAAGTGTCTCAGCCATCCCTGGTTACAGGTGACATATTTATTTTTATGTTTTATTTATAATTTTAATTTTATTCTTCAGATATGTTTTTTTTCATGACAGTATGAACAGCACAAATCACACGGAATCTGATCTTTTCTATTCTAAATTGGGCCACTTCCATATCATGGTCCAAATCAGATACAGGTTTTTACAATGTGACCTCAGTGTGAGCAGTCATATCAGAATTAATGTGACTTTTGTGTCACTCTAGATCTACGCTTGTCATGCAGGTCACTTCAGGACTGTCACCTGTTCACAACAGAATCTGTTATGGGCCAGATTTAACAAATAATGTCAACAGCCAAGCAAAAATAAATCTGATATGAGCAATAAATCAGAAATGAGTGCTAAGGCATACAGTGTGACTGTAACCTTAACACTCCCTCCCTCAGAGTGACTTACACTTTCAGAGGATATTGTCTTCAGTATCAACATTAATTCACTCATAGTTTAGTATTTAGTATTAGTATTTGAGTTAAGTTTAATTCATCAGTTGTTACAGTGGTATTAGGAACTGGTAATAGCTAATTTGACATTACTTTTTATTATGCATTGTGAAGCCTACTCACTCACTTCATGGCAAGATTCCTGCCTCCAACTCCATGGGAACTGAGTGAACAATAGTTCCAAAATTGAGAACATGATTATCATAAAAAGAATAATAAAAGGAGCTGTTTATGATTTGCACTATCAATACATGTTTTGATGTAACAACATAGTTCTTATATCTCTTGAACACTGACAAACTCTGTGGACATTTTGAATTAATTCAAATGTATTACCAAGTACCAACTGATGGCATTTCTGAGTAACCCAACTTGAAAATAATAACATATGGCATGTGTGACTAAGACATGTAGTGACTACAAAAAAGCCTGTAAATAAATGGAGTGACAACCAATCATAATAGCCTTGGGTTCACAGGAATTCAATCCCTTTATGTCACCAGCTCACTGAGGAGGATGTTGTACTGAATTACTCTCTTTCCCCCAGGACTATCAGACATGGCTGGACCTCAGGGAGTTCGAGACACGGCGAGGTGAGCGCTACATAACACACGAGAGCGACGACGCACGCTGGGAGGAGTACGCTGACGAGCACAGTCTTCTTTACCCCAAACACTTCATCATGGCTCCCAACCTGGATGACATGGAAGAGGACCCCTAGTGGCGAGGGGGACTTACTACAACACATGTATTAAGGACAAGGATTGTCACAGGGACTTTTTTCATGAAGCTTTGGGAGTGGCAGATTTCCCTTCCAGAACTGTTCGTTGTGGAAAAAGAGAGAAGCCGATCAGGTGGAGAATTACTCTCCATAGGCTTTATAAGTGGGGGAAAACCTGACTGAAAACCTGAATTTGTAGCACGATGCACTGCTACAAGCAGAACGCAGGTGGAGACGCATGCCACAGAAACGCATTAAGAAACTGTCAGGGGAGAATAGTGTTCATCTTCTTTTTGCACGATATCAAAACATTCCATGGATTTGCTCAAGTTTGGTTAATTTTTAAGAACAATCATAAACCAAAACACGCAACGTGAACTTAATAGTTTAGGTATTGTACACGCAATTTTGGATAACTTTGAGTAATAATATGACTCTGTTCTGTATGTGAGAAAAGAGATCAGAGAGAGCGCTTACCCCAGGAGTAAAGGGCACTTTTCACAAGGGATTTACAGTCCGAGAATTTAAAACACGTGAGTTTTATTCTCGTTTCCGAACTATTTGTGAGACTGTCCTTTGGCATGAAACTGGAACTATCACATATATTTGTATGTTTTTAATGTATTTCGTAATTGTGGTAGATTTTTGCACTATATTACCATTGAGCATAGCAGCTGAATAGAAACTCTATTCGCTGCTACAGAGAGCAAACAGTTTTCGAGTGTCCAGTCTAGGTGCAAAGTTTTAACCTGAAAGTCGATGCAACTCACACAGTATTGGCTGTCACCATTTATTTTAAACAAACCTCGACAGGTTTGTCAACCAACATGTCATCAGAGTATGATCTGTTAGTGGCAGCTAATAGTGTGCGAGTTTTATCAACTGGCAAGAAGACCCTGACCAAATATGTTAACAAAAACGATTCATTTCAGTGGTTCCAAACCTTTTCTAAATTAACATTGTGAATTTGTTCAAGACCATAACACTGAACTGTCCATAAATGCAATAATGGAGCCAATATTTTTTATGTTCAACGTGAGGGTAAAACAGCACGGACTCTATGTTAGAGTGTCATGTTTCTGTGTATCTTTTTCTGTACTTTCGCAGTATTCTTGAATGTGACTTTTTAAGCACTCCAATTCTGGAATATGTGTTTTATAGAGGCCGCCAACCTAGGTTTTACATAGAACAAAATATTGGTGTCAGTTTCCTTGTTTATTATGTTGTCTGGACCATTTCACCAGCCCTTTTGTCTAGACAGTGGATCGCAATTTGGTTCACATGGGAGTTTATAGCCCTACAGATTTGTAGTTTGCTCTGTTGGTGTGTTATGGGAGTACCTTCCTGTTTCCTGTTGTCCTCTTCCTGTCTTTGTTGCCGCTGGATTGGCAGGTGTCAGTGTTTTGTATATTTCAGTACATACCAATGGAATAAAAACCCAACTTCTTAACTGAGAATTAAAAAGTTGTCTTCAAGCTCTGACTGTCTTCATGCTCCTCTGACAATTGATTTTATATTTCAGTGCCTCAGCTTGCATGCACGCATAAACCGTGTGCTGGCATATAGTATTGTGTATGTTGCATCATGATGTGTGAGTGAGCGAGCGGTGTGTGTGTAGTGGTTTCACATGTCAGATCCCATTCTCAGCAGCTGGATGTGATTGTTGCACCACACCGAGCAGTTTGCAGAGCCAGTCGCTCACCACAAGGGAGTAATGACATAGTTAAAGAGGGTGGTGGTGATGTGGGGGTTTGTGGAAGACTTTGAAATCACTCATGATAAATGCTATCATGGAATCCCTTCAAGTATCAAACGTGTGCTCAGCTCTGCCCATATGAATAAAATGCCTCATTCCCGGACTGTACTTCAGAATGGGACTGGTGTTTGAAGGTACAGCCCTCCATAAACTACAGATAATAAACAGCTGTCATCAATTGACCTAAATCTTTGAAATCTTTGCTTCAGATACTGGCTGACCACTGTTAGCAATCATGGCTAGCATTATTGCAATTCTATTATGTAACAGCCACTGATGAGAAGTTGAACATACTCTTTTTTTTTTTTTTCTCTAAATGATGCTCCAAACTGGGCTCCTGTATCTGTTGGTCTGAATGTTTTCAAGATGTGGATCCTCTTTGCATGCCAGATGACCCCATTAACCTCTGTGGGGGAGACAGTTACAGGCTGAACAGGCTTTAACACAACAGCGCTGTTAGAGGTCACTGAGTTGATCCTCCTCACACATTCATCAGTGAACAAAAAAACCCAGATTACTCCCTCATAACATATCACGTATTTCAGTGTTGCTAGTGTTTAAGGATTCATTGTGGAAAGAGATCCAGCTCCAGCCATTTAGAAGAAGGGAGATTGGAGCATATCTACCAGGGAAATAAAGTGCAATGTCTCCCTCCTCTGGTTGGATGGAGGTGTCAAACCTTCTTATAAAGGCTCATGCTATGTAGATATGGACCCAGTGTCCACTGTATTAGGTATACCAGTAGAGTAAAATGCAATCCAACACAACAGCCTTGCCATAAAGTCTACCTTTATCTTAGTTAAGATGGATGTTGTGTTGTATTGGACTGTATTATATTGTCTAGGTGTGCCTAATAAAGGAGCCACTGAGTGTTTTTCCATTTAAAATGAAAACAATACTTCACTTTAGTGGGGAGACTGTTTTTAAAGTCCCCTACTTGACTCAAAAATGTGTTGTTATGGTGACCTCCCTTATATTTGACCTTTAGTTCACAGAATGATGCACAGTATGTGCAGACACTGTAAGACTGTAAGGCTATAAGTTGGAAAGTTTCTCTATGCTGACCTTGAATCTCAGTTTCAGACGTGTGCGTAAAAGCATGATTTTGTAATCTGTAAGTTACACGAGTGTGATGTGGAAAGCTGAAGCCTTCAGTGCATACACACTGAGGATGGACCTTTATGTGAAGTAGGAGACATTTTGTAGTCAATAGTCAAACTTTTGAAATGAGCAATATTGCATATTCACATATTCTGGATTTTTCATTGAAGAAAAAACATATCAGACACAAATTATTAATAATTTTAATTTAATTTAATTTTTAAAAATAAAAATGTGAACATAATGACAAGAAAATATTCAGGATCTGCAATATGTGAAATGTATAATTTATGATATTATGTGTCCAAATGATTAGAAAGGAAGCATAAGAGTGATAGAGGGGCCCATGTGCTAATAGTATCCATACAATGTCACATGGGGACAATGTATGTATCACTGTCCTTGGTCGGTATCCACTAAAAAGGCAGTTCCCTTTGCTGCCAGAAGGTGTCACTCTCTGTAGGTTAATCCAGTGAGTTTGTAATGGAAAAACCAAAGTCTTTGTGGAAAATTTGTGAAACAGGTTGTGTAGGGAACCATTTGGTTATCCTAAGATGGATACAGTTGAATTTGTATTTATTTTTTTACATATAGAGCATCAGCCATGTTAATGATGATGCACTGTTGTCTACAACATTTAGAAATGACAAATACCTTTACACATGAGTGTTTCACACATTACAAGTCGATACGACCAACAAAATCTCCTTTACAGTGAACTGTAAAACATATTTGAAAAGACCTAGAATTTACATAAATTACGACTGCACTGTCAGATTCGTGTCAGAAATAACATCTGTTGAAGGATCAGAGACAGCGATCTGTCTTTGTTGCCCTGATCCTGGGGTCTGTGTATATTTGTTAAGCAGCTTTGCCCGGTGGCTTCTCGGCAGGTCTCTCGTCACCTCAAGGGGAGGTCTGTGTGTCACATATCCTCACCCCCTCACTCCCATCTTGTCCCCACCTCTCTCCTCCTCTGCGTCCTCCGTTCCTATGCTTCTTCTCTTTACTTCATGCTGGGTATCCATGGGCTCCAGACCAAACAAGCAAACAAACAGAACAACAGAAAAACCCATCACCCAGACAAGGTTGGTCTGGGCTTGAGGGAGAGATGGGAAGAGATCTTGTTTGCTTTCTGGGCCAGTTCCATTTCACTGTGATGGCAGAGAAGGCCTCCCAGGACATGGTGACCCACGCTTCTGTTTGACTTCCAGGGTGATGAAGGTGGTCCTTGGCACTGACACATCATCTTCTGACCCAATACACAGCTGACTGCAGCCACAAGCCTGTAGCCTTTACCTTAGCTGGCCCTGTACTGTTTAGCTGTGGTCTTTGCCTTTATCTGAGGAACTTGTTGGTATGACATTTAGCTGGTGGCCTTTAATCGTCACAATACTGTCTTTCAGCCATGACCAGTAAATACAGTGATTCATTTGATGACTGTCTTTCCATGTATACAGCATGCTATTACATTTCATTGTCAGTAAACAGTGGCTGGAATAAACTAACTGTATAATCACTAAACCATTTTTTCAAGATACTATAAGTTTCCAACACTAAAGTAACAAAAACATTTACAGCTTGTATACTGTAGACTTAGGCTCTGTCCCCATATAATCAGTTCACTGCCCTCTGCCAGTAACTGACTATAACCCACACAGTAGCCAGACTTCTGCTTCCCATGTCCTTGGTGAAGGGCACAAGTCACAAGAAACACTCTATCTCCAATCTCTAATACAATCTCACAGAATGCCATGTATTTTCCCTATCTGTCCTTTCCACAAGACCTGAGAGACAAATGAATGCAACTGCACAGAGGGAATTTATACCGTAAGCATGTGTGTATTGGAAACAAAGGTGTCCAAAACATGGCAAGTGGTTGACAAAATCAACTTTCAATTCCCCTGCATGTTTACCTATTACCTAATGGCCCGAATAATGTGTGTCCATTTGCTGGGGATTTTGCGGGGACTTGTATGTTCATGAAAATATAGTATTGTTCTAGATATGAGATGTCTCTAAGTCGGAGTTTTAGACTGTGTATTGCAACAAATAAAGGTCAAATCTATGTGTGTGGTGGCTGCTGGGGACATCAAGACATTCTTTTGTTGTAAAATCAGTGGAGAGAGGAAATGAAAGTTGGAAATGGTTTCCTAGTCTGGGAAAATGCAGATGAGCTATATAGGTATGTTTGATTTGCTGACTCCAGCTGTGCCTGGAGAATTCCCCTGACCCATGCTATGGACCGGTTGCTGTGTGAGGCCACATGTACCCCTGTTGCAAAGCAGGCAGGCGCAATACGCAACCCCCATGAAAGGGCTGGCCATTGAACTCTCAGGCAAGTGGCAATATTTGCTCACCTGAAATACACACATCTTGCCAATTGGGGTCGGGGTGGGCTCAGGGACTGGGGAAGGACCCCTTGATGCAGCTGTGGCCCCGGAGAAAGACCAGACCAGGAAGTTTTGTGGCTGGAGCAGGGTGGGGGCTCTCTTGGCGGGGGGCTGTTTAGCGGTGGCGGCCCTATTGTGTCTTAAAGGAGGCAGAGACCGTATTTGTTCGAAGCTGCAGGAGGCTGATGAGGTGCTAATCTGTTGAGTGGCTGTGTCATTGGGCTCCTGTTCCCAATAGCCTGTTAGCTGTCAGGGCCTGTAAAAAAGGCACAATTTACGGGCCCCAGGCCAGGACTCAGCCATCGGTGTCCACGGGTAAGCAAACACAGATTGGACACTTATGTTGTTTCTCTGGTAGGGCAGGCTTTACCACCAGGCTCCTGGGGTGACACGTAGGCAGCCTCTTTTCAGCCCTCTTCATGAGTTGTCGGCCCCCTCTTTGCTCCTCTGTAAACACTACAAATTAGCCATCTGCATATGGATGGGCCCTCAGTCCATACAGGAAGGAGACAACTGCCTCGTAGAAGGGAGAAGATATAAGCTTTCCTCTAACGTAGACCAGATATACATTCTCCTCTATCAGCTTTTAATTTCTTTAATTTCTATCCTCATGCATACGAAACAAGGATAGCCCATTCAGGCACAGGGGTTTTAGATATGCCAGAAACGTCTGCCTGCTCAAGAGAGTGTGAGATTTTGTTGTATGGTGCTCTGAAGCATGAGGATAATGAAAGCGCAGGGCTGGCCAGTTGTCTGAGATGGGTTCGGGTCAGCAGTCAGAGGTAATCCCAAACTTGAATTTCCCCATCAGCCCAGAATACAGATAAGACGGCAGCAGATATGAACCTCACTCACTGACTGACTGATGGAAAAAGGAAATGGGCCAAAAGCCACTCTCAGATGTAGAGCTGAGATGTGTGTGTGTGTGCATGTTTTCTCAAGAGGTCTGTCAGAGACGGTGAAGCCCGGCAGCAGCATTTGTGGAAACTGAGAGTTGTGATCAAAGGAAAACTTGGATTAAAGATGCCTGTAATATCCGGATTATACCTTTATGTCATAACATTAAACCAAAACTACATTGAAATTGCAGATCAGTTAATTGAACTATCATGGAAAAGATGCTATAGGTTATATCCGTGTCCCTTGAGTCAGTTAGGATTAGAAAGACCATTACTGACACAACTTTTTAATCATCAGGCCAGGTTTGCCCTCGTGTCCAATCTGA